TGCCCTAGCGGCATAAATCCCCGCCAAAGCGGCTTGCACGGAACAGTGAGCAAAAATAATAATTCTAGGACCCCATTTCACAACACACATTCAACCAAGGACACTCAGAAACTACTCGTTCACGCTAAGATCAGTTTCAGAAGTTCTACTCACCCGAATTCAATTTCTTAAAGTCGTACGGGTTCCTTAATGTCTTAGCTATCTAGCCGTGTGATCAAAATCATTATTAGATCTCTCATTTATTATCAGATTTCCCTATACCTCACTGACTCCGATTTCATCCAAATCTGGACTAGGCTAAGAAATTTAAAGTTACTACTCAAAAGTTTTTTTGTCTCACTGCTTTCCCCATTGGCTTTTACCTAACGACGGAATCAGGTCGTTACATAGTCATACTATCTAACATGGTGGGACCCATTTTTGCAAGGGTAGTCAAGTAATTTCACTCAATTGTAAAAGTAAGTAAAATGTGTAATCTGGAAAATCTAGAAAAATCTAAAGAGAGTGAAATCTGGAAAAATCTACTATCTCTCTCACAAGTATAATAGAAATACACTCTCTTCCAAATTTTCAAGGTTGGGTTCTTTTGACTTCTCTCAATCTACGAACTCTCTCTCAACAAGGGTTTAGCAATCTCAGATAAGTTTTAACCAGAAATTTTTCCCAACATTCATTTACTTCCTTTTTGTTGCTTTTTTTGGTTTTTAATTTTTGCTTTGAAACTCTGAAAGACTACTCTTTTAATTCTCTTCATCTTCTCTTTAGGGTGTTTCAATTTTAGTTGGTTTTTTTTTAAATTTTTGCTTAAATTTCATCGCTGAAATTGTTGATTTATGTCATTATTGTTCCGTTAAATCTATCCAAATTTAATTCTGTTAAAAAATATAATTTGATAAGTATGTGTCCTTGTAATTATTAGCTTCACTCATATTAAACAAAAAATAGTTTAGGAGCTCAGATATTGGGGAAATCATCTTTTAAAGAGTTCAAATTATGTATTTATCGAATTTATTAAAATTATGAATTTTGTACGGGAAGAGTATTTCGATAGCTCGGGTAGTGGAAAAATTATGTTTGTTAAGAGTATAATGCTATGACTCTTGCTTTTTAAAAATTGTAGGTTGATATGCTAGAGTATATAAAATCTTCATTCTCTACTCTTTCAGTATCTAAATAAGTTAGAAATGTCAAACATTATAGGTATGTGAACTACTACATTGAAAGAGTTATAAGAAAGTATAGAAACTCTTTGATAGAGATAAAAGTCTAAGTATAAATGAGAACAGGAAGCAAACAACAAAGAGACTAATAAAATAATTTAAACCAACAAACATTGGAATGACAATAGGGGAAATTACATGACCAGCGATAAGAAAAGAAATCTTACAATTTTCTCGGGAATTGAGGAGTTAGCTTTCTATATGAGCTACTCAAAGTTCTCGTACATCATTATCTTTGTCGTCCCTGTCCATTTATTCCACTTGAAATCCTAAAACGGTCCTAAGAGCATTTGGAGACTCTTCAATTGTTTGGTCCACGAGTAAGGTAAGGGATAAATTCCTCTTTAGAAACCACCAATTTCATGCCTTAACTAAAATTCTCAAATTTCTATATTAGTGTTAACTAAAAGAAAATTTATATTGCAACACTTTAGGAGTGCAAGAAGTGAACATTAATCAAACTCAGTAGAAAGAAAATTAGAAAAAATAGAAGAGAAGAACCTAATAACCTTATCTTTTCTTAACTCGTAATATTTATATAGCTGCAGAAGAACATCAATAAGTAAATTAGAAAGCGTCGACATAAAAACTACAAAATTTAACATTGAAAGAGTGAATAAGAAAAAGGGAAGGACAGTTGAGAAACTTACCAAAAGTTGTATGACACCTCGAAGTAGCAAAGGAGAATGAGAGTTGTAGAGAAAGATAATATAGTGAAGGAAACTGAGAATTGTAGACTTAAATCAAATTCATTAAAGTAATAGTTAGATCCAAAGTGATACATGTATTTTACTGAAGTAGATAGGGCATGTATCTAACTACCAATGAGATAGGTCCAACTCTATAATACAATTGATACTATTTTTGTTATAACTATCAACTGAATTGTTAACACCTTGTGTTTACTTATTAATAATAGAAATTTACATATTAAAACAATAGGGAGGTATATTGTATATGTGCTTGGCCGTGTGTATGTAGTGTAGTGTATTTGGGAATTTTCGTTTGTCTCCACTCTTTCGAATTTGACTTGGGGATGTATTGAAGTTGTATAAATCTAAAGAGATTCAGAGAAAGTACAAATATATATTTTGATTTTTAAAGGTGTATTATTTTTAAAAAAAAATAAAAATACATTGTGTGCGCATCTGAGTATCTATGCTCGAATTTGCCTCTTGGAGGCATGACAAATGAAGCTATTACCTCCTCGATTGAATGAAGTGCAATGCGAACAAGAGAACGTGGTTGTTTCAGCCGATAATGAAAGGAAACCACATTTCTTGACCTTTCTCTTACTAATAGATAAATAGCTTTTCTTTTATGAATTTTTTTTTTACACAATTTAGTGTCCAATGCAGCAAACAATAGCAGGGGAAACCTATTTCTCGATTCACTCAAAGAGGTGAATACGGTCCCAATAGAGAATTACCTGGCAATATAACTACTGTAATATAATGCATCTCAATTAGCAAGAGGTGGTTACCTTTAGATATCATAGCTATCAACCGGGATTTGGATAAATAATTGAATATGGAGAATGACTTTTTTATTTAGAATTAGAAGGGGGAATGAAGGAAAATTACCTGGTAATACAATTACTGTTTTGAAGAATTGATATGAGCAACACTCAAAATGGTCTTATCCAACTGTGAATTTGTCACCTAATTAATTGATCAGATTTAAATATGTATATTAATATAATATGAATTAACAAACTTTGCTTTTTTTTAAGTTTACTTGACCCTTTACAAGTGATTGTTATCATCATCATTTATATAGTCAAGATTTCTATTATGAAAATAAGCTATTGTTACAGGAAGAGGATAAGGCAAAACTTGTCGAGGAAACAAGGTTCCAACTGAAATAAAAAAAAATTGATTCATCAATCAAAGCAAGCACAATTGGCATAACAACTCACAATCTGTAATATTTCTAAAGTCCAATCCCAGTAGATAGAGAGAAATCAACGAGGTCCCTCGAAAGAAATCAAGAACATGTGTAAATTCCTGCATCTTATTGATGCCATTAATGAAACCATTACTTCGTAAAAAAAGAGAGAAAGAAATCAAAAACATATATAGGTTGATGGTGATATGAATATAACAGCTTTGAAGCAGAGTGTTGAACTATCTATTATGGGTACATGTTTAGGAGTTGCATCTATTATGCGTACATGTTTAGCAGTTGCAACTCCGTTATTTAATTTGGCCAAACAAGTAGCATGCTTGCTAGAACTTGATATAATTGAGGTGTGTTTGATTAACTTGTATTTTTATTATTGGAGTTGGTCGTGCGGTGTTTTGTACCTGTGTTTAGGCATGAAGAATTGTCCAAAAACAGGAGTTGTTCTCAGGTATGTAACAGAAATTATGCTCAACAAGCAATCAAAAAATATAATGATCCAAGTATGTTATGCTTGATATGTTGTTTACAAAAATTAATTTCTTCGATAAATGGACTTGAATTTTTATTTGATTCTGGCTTTAATTTATACTTTGCCACTTGTTTGTTGTTCACATTTCCTTCATTTATAACTACGAATGAACTGCATTATTTATACGTTCAATCTATGTTTGTTGGGCTCGTGCTTAGCACGGGCACATCTTATATATATATAGAAAGGTGAAGAGGAGGACGACCAAGGGTCATTTCGTAATATCAGCTTCATATAAAGGCAAAACGGTAATTAGTGATTAAAATAGATTCTAGAACTATCAATTCTTTCATTTCTAGCAAAAATAAAAAATTAACACACCAAAGCAGAGAAATTGAACCATGCAATCGAACATTTATACCAAGCCTTCTTCTTCTATGTCTGAGAGTGTAAATCCATTTAAATTTTTGGAGTGATGAGTTCGATTATACTAGGTATGATTGAAAATGACTTTTGATCCATTTTCCTTCATTAAAATGCTTTTGTTTTATCCTCATTATGTACCTGCTCTTTGAATCTTGAAATTTTTGTCAAGAATAGGGTTTGATTGGTAGTAGAAATGGATCTATAATTTTATAATTGTAACTTGATGATTTCAATTTGATTTTGATTTTATCACAATACTTATTACACTTTTGAAATTAAGGGTTCAAAATGTAATGTTTATATTTAATGAGGATCTGATGGTTTTTACTTGTGTAGCACATTATTAAAGTATTGGGTTCAGTTGAACTCATAGTTTGTCAGCTAGATTCCCACTAATTGACATTGTTGTTCGAGCATTATTTTCACTGTAGTGGTAATGCTTCACCAAATGAACTACCACGTTTGTCTAACTTTTGTGAGATTTCTTCCACATGTCTTTTGCTTTCTCTCTCTGTTTTTTTTCCTCTAAATTCTTAAATCACTTAATCCTTTTTTGTCTCATCGGGTTAATACTTGTTAACCACAGTTGTAGGTTAGCAAGCTATCATGGTTAAATGTGATGTAGTTAGAAAAGTTAGTTAGAGTTGATGCTGAGTCAGCAAGTTAGTTAGGAGTTTGTTAGTTGTCAGACTAACTACTCTGCCTATAAATACATGCTCCATGTAAATGAAATGTAACCTAAAATAATGCATCAATAAAAAGTTTTCTTTCTTTCTTGCTTCCCTGTATCTTATCTACATTTCATGAGCTTAGTGTTGTGTAGTTTACAAGCTCTATTAATGGAGTTAACATGGTATCAGAGCACAACACGATCCTAAGGAAGTGAAGATCACGAGCAGAAGCAGCAGAGATGCTTAGATTCGAAGCTGAAAGTCCTTCGAAGTCGCAAGTAAGCATCAATCCTTTTTAAGCTGAGATCCATGGAAAATCCAGCTGAAATTGCTGCAAACCTGCAATCAAATGCAACACAAGGACACTCAACTGGTGGATCGATGAATTTCATAGTTCCTACTATTGATCACAATCACCCACTGTACCTACAGCCTAAGGAAACTCCAAGTAGCTCCCCCCATCTCTCTTCACCTTACTGGCTCAGAGAACTATGTTATTTGGAGTAGATCTATGCGTATAGGACTGGTAGGAAAGAGTAAACTAGGGTTCATAGATGGTCAATTTCCTAAGTCTAAATTATCTACTGAACTGTGTGATATATGGGGAAAATGTGATGTTGTAGTGCTCTCATAGATCATGAATGTTGTTAGGCCTGAATTACTTAGCAGTATAGTATACAGTGGAGATGTTCATAAAGTGTGGTGTGATCTAAGAGAAAGGTTCGATAAAATCAATAGAGCTCATGTATTTCAACTTCACAAGGAAATACACAACTTAACTCAGGGAACAATTTCAGTGATTACTACACTACACTTAAAGGACTTTGGAATGAGTATGACTCTATTATGCCTTGTCCAGGATGTAACTGTCCTGAATCTAAAAAGTTCCAAGAGCATTGTGAGTATCAAAGAGTACTAGAGTTTCTTATGGGGCTAAATGAGACCTACTCAACAACTAGGGGTCAAATTTTGATGCAGTCTCCAACTCCTAATCTCAACAAAATGTTTTCTCTAATTATAAATCATAAAAGTCAGAGGAACTTAGCAGGTCATGAAGTCTCTCTTTCTAAGATTGTTGAGAGTACAACTATGTTCAGTCAAAAAGGAGGAAATAGTGGTAACTCAGGTAGAGGTCAGTCTGATAATGTTCCTTTTGGATATCAACCAGGAGGTAATGGTGGTAATCCAGGAAGAGGTCACTATGACAGTCAATATAATCCAATCAAAACTCAGAAGCCTCTCACTGTATGTGAAGTCTGTGGGTTCAGAGGACACACCAAGGATCAGTATTTCAAGGTCAAAGAATATCCAGTTGGCTGGAAGTCAAAGAGGAAAACTGGTAATGTAAGTTCTTTTCTCTCATGCCTTTCTTCGTTCATAGTTCGATGATTCTTCTTCGCCTTGTTGTGTTGGCTTGTTCAATCAATCTCATAGGTTCATATGGCTCGTCCTATAAGAAAAGGGATATACCATAACCATAGGGAAGTAAAGGTGTGAAAAAGAAGCTTTTTCTGAGCGTATATAGTGGTATAGTCCTTAATGCGCAGGAGCAAGAAAAGGGATGCGCCTATATTAATCATGTTGAAACTCCTAATCCTACAGGATCCACACATACTGTAGAAAATTTGCCAGCCAACCTACCATTTGCATCTCCTGCAGCCTTCTTTACATCATATCAGTATAATCAAATCATGCAACTTCTAGCTAAAGGAAGTGACACTGGTGGAGATTCCTCAACTAAGGCTGCTACAACAGGTAGAATTCTATCTGCACTAGTAACCAAACATATAGATAACGAGTGGATCATTGACATGGGAGCTTCTAATCACATGAAATCTAAGGTTGACATTTTAAATCACTTCACTATTGTTCCTATGTCTGAAAGAAGACAGGTTAATCTACCCAATGGGAATGTTGTGTCAGTGTCACATATTGGTAGTACTACTGTTCTTGGGGACAATGTGATTGGAAATCTTCTTTTTGTGCCTGACTTCAAATGCAACTTATTGTTTGTGTAATAATTAACAAAGGAACTCAATTGCATGGTTGTGTTCTTCCTTGAATTTTGTGTTTTACAAGATCTCTCAAATGGACAGGTCAAGGGGATTGGTAGAGAAGATCAAGGTCTCTACATCCTCAAAGATGACTTCACAGACTCAGCAGCATATACAACATGCAGCCAACCTCCTATTACTAGTAACACTGACTCTAACACTTTATGGCACAAAATTCCAGGGTATGCTCCTGTGGAAATACTGAAGAAATTTGGCAGTCTAGATGGATTAGAGAATGTAATAAGTCATCCCAGTACTGTCTGTCCACTAGCTAAGCAGTCAAAACTTCCTTTTCCAGGCATTGTTTGATTTAGTTCACTATGACATTTGAGGCCCTTACAAGGCTCCCACTTATGCTGGAATGAGATACTTTGTAATCATTGTTGATGATTTCTCTAGATTCACCTGGTTATTTCTCATAGCATCTAAATCAGATACAATTGTAGTGCTCAGAATTTTTTTTGCTCAGGTTCAAACATTATTTTCCACATGTGTTAAAGTTTTTAGAATTGATAATGGAAGTGAATTCTTTAGTCACTCTTGTCAATCTCTATTGTCCTCTCTTGGCATTTCACATCAAAGTTCTTGTGTATATACCCCCCCCCCAACAGAATGGTGTGGCTGAAAGAAAGCATAGAACTATTTTAGACATGGCAAGAGCCCTCAGATTCCAAGTTATTGTCCCTTTGAGATTTTGGGGTGAGTGTGTCACCACAACATTATATAGTCTCAACAGACTTCCTTCTAAACTTTTGTCCTATAAATCTCCTTTTGAGTTGCTTTGCAACCATCCTCCATCTCTTTCTCAACTAAGGACTTTTGGTTGTCTATGTTATGTTTCTTGTCCTAAGATTTCTGATAAGTTCTCTCCTAGAGCCATTCCTGTAGCACTGTTAGGCTACTCCAATTCTCAAAAAGGTTATCTCTTATATGATCTCCACTCCAAGTCCCTGTTTGTTAACAGGCATGTAGTGTTTAAAAAGGATGTGTTTTCTTTTAAGGATGTTAAGCCCTCCTCTGATCCTGTCTTTCCAGTTCTTACTATGGTGTTTCCTGATAATTTGGACTCCTCATCTCAGGAGCACCCTGTAGTTCCTCATCCAGTTGTTGCCATCCACTCTCCTACCATGTCTTCCTCACCTACAAAAGAGTCTCTACCACCTCCTGCTCAACCTCCTCCTTCTAGAAAGTCCTCTAGACCTGTCAAACCTCTTTTGTGGATTCAAGACTTTGTTACTAAGCCTAAAACCAATTCTTGTGTCTTTCATATTTCCAATCATGTCTCATATACCAAATTGTATCCTACCTATCAGTCTTGTCTCAATGCTTTCTCTGCATTTACTGAGCCTTCTTCCTTCATGGAAGCTTCTCTTGATCCTTAGTGGGCTCATGCCATGCAACTTGAGATAGATGCATTAGAACATAATAACACTTGGTCAGTGTTGATTTACCCCCGGCAAGAAGCCCATTGGGTACAGATGGATATATAAGGTTAAGTACAAGTCTACATGAGAAGTTGAGAGGTTGAAGGCCAGTCTGGTTGCCAAGGGCTATAGTCAAAGGGAGGGTCTGGACTATGGAGAAACATTCAGCCCTGTGGCTAAAATGGTGACTGTCAGGTCTGTTGTTGCTTTGGCTGCTTATAAAGGTTGGTCTATCCTACACATGGATGTTCACAATGCATTTCTCAATGGTGATCTTCTTGGGGAGGTGTACATGTCTATTCCTTCAGGGTTTGCTAGTCAGGGGGAGAATAGTACTGAAGTCTACAAACTGCACAACTCTCTATATGACCTTAAACAAGCTCCTAGACAATGAAACTTCAAGTTAACACAAGTATTGATTCAGTTAGGATTTCATCAAAGCCAGTATGACTGCTCACTTTTTATCAGACATGAGCAAACTGACATAGTCATTGTGTTAGTCTAGGTAGATGATCTACTAATAACTGGTAGCAGGCAATCACTTATAGACACTACTAAGGAGGATCTATAGAAACAGTTCAAGATGAAAGACTTGGGTGACCTCAAGTTCTTTTTAGGGATTGAATGTGATCAAGTAGAGGAATTCATATGTCACAGAGGAAGTATACATTAGAACTGATTGTTACGTGTGGATTAGGTGGAGCCAGACCTGTTGCAACTCCTCTAGAACAAAATCAAAAGTTGATCTCTGTACAATTTGATGAATGCATTAAACTGGAAAAAAAAGCATGGAGATCATATACTACAGGATCCTAGTAGATACCAAAGACTAGTAGGAAGGTTATTGTATCTCACCATGACCAGACCTGACTTATCATTCTCAGTCCAAGTTCTGAGTCAATACATGCACTCTCCTAAGAAATCCCATGTGGAGGCAACACTAAGAGTAGTCAGATACATAAAAGAGCTTCCAGGTCTGGGGTTGTTTATGCCAGCATAAAACACCAGTCAACTACTTGCATATTGTGATTCTGACTGGGGGTCTTGCATTAAAACAAGAAGATTAGTAACTGGTTATCTAGTCAAGTTTATAGGAGCTTTGATATCCTGAAAGTCAAAGAAACAAGAGACAATATCCAGAAGTTCAGCTGAAGCTGAATTCAGAATTATGGCAAACTGTGATGTTGAGATCACTTAGTTGGTGGGATTGTTTGAAGAATTTGGAGTCCACATTGAACTACCAGTAACCATGGTCTGTGATAGCAAAGCAGCAATTCAAATTGCTACAAATCCTATCTTTCATGAAAGGACTAAACATATAGATATTGATTGTCATCATGTAAGGGAGAAAATCTGTCAAGGTTTACTAAAAACTCAGTATACAAATACAAGGGATTAATTGGCTGACTTATTGACCAAGGGACTGGGCAAAGCTCAACATCAACTGTTGATGAATGATCTAGGGATGTTGAACCTGTTTAAACCATGAGCGTGAGAAGGAGTGTTAACCACAGCAATAGGTTAGCAAGCTACCATGGCTAAATGTGATGTAGTTAGAAAAGTTAGTTAGAGTTAAAGCTGAGTCAGCAAGTTAGTTAGGAGTTTGTTAGTTGTTAGACTAACTACTCTGCCTATAAATTCATGCTCCATGTAAATGAAATGTAAGCTGAAATAATGCATCAATAAACAGTTTTCTTTTTCTCTTGCTTCCTTATATCTTATCTGCATTTCATTAACTTAGTGTTGTGTAGTTTACAAGCTCCATTAATGGAGTTGACAATACTCGTGGTTTTATAGTATTTCATTCAACAACTTCATATAAGCAGCTACAATGTGGATAGTCAAAGCAGTCTTCTAAAGGGAAATTTTGGGATTTTAAGTAAATGGCTTGCAAATATTAATATTTAGTCCATTCTAGGTATTCACGCGTCAAACATCTCTATTTTGTTACTTTTTTTGGTAACTAACAGTTTCCTTAATCACCAAATTAATTGTTAAATGCTAGTCCATCTTTAGAATATTTTGTTACTTTTGTTGGTTCCATTGTTACTTATATTGATTGGGGCTCCCAAATTTTGACTTATGCGATCGATATTGATATTTGACAATCTGTGATTTTGATACTTGAATGTAACCTACTAAATTCTCTTGTGATAAATGAGGAGTAGGGCTTCCATTTAAATTACTATTTGTTCCATTGTCTAAAAGAGAACTCACATATGGGTATAAAGCTCAGCTTCTCCTTATCAACTATTTCTATTTTTCATGTGTTCTTTATATGTCAGAAGTATTACCATGCAGTGGCGGATCCAGGATTTTCGTTCAGGGGGTTCGAAAAATAAAAGTATAAACGTGTAAATAAGCCTTTAAAAATGGGATCCTTGAATTCTTTTGGGTTTAAAAGCACACTTTTAGCACCTTTTTAAAATTTTTTTAAAAAAAAAAACTTGAAAAACAGAACTGAAAATAAAAAAAAATTGGAACTAAAAAAGGAAAAAAATAAAACGCTGTCACAGGGAATCGAACTGGGGACGTGATGGTTAATTTCCAGCGAACTTACCACTGAGCCATCAATTTCTCTCTGTCATTGAGGGGATTCAAAATATATATATCTACAAAAATACAGAAAATTTACCTTATATATACAGTGTAATTTTTTGCCGAGGGGGTTCGGGTGAACCCCCTGGAACCAACGTGGTTCCGCCCCTGTTACCATGTTTGCAACTTGTCACTACAATGAATATTATAGAATTCTCTGAAGAATATTTTTCACTAATTGAGATGCATGCATCTTAGTTAGCACGAGGTGATTAGCTTTGGATATCATGTCTACCATCCCTTGTAGGGATTTAGATCAAGAATTGAATATGAGGAAGGAGATTTGAAAGAGGGGAGGAAAAGTTTCTGATGATACGATTATTGTTTTAAAGAATTGGTATCAACAACACACTAAATGGCATTATATAACTGCTAGTTTGTCACCTAATTAATTGATCATATATGCATACATATAAAAATATGGATGTTCAATGTCACATATACATAAAATTTTACAGTCTGGTCACTGAAATGGCTTTTATTCCAGCACACTCACAATAATTTTGATCTTACTTTGAACTGTAACTTATTATACTAGTGTGTTGATATTGAAAAGTTTGATGAGTACATATTTGCTTTTAATCATTTTTTTTACTGGGTTGAAGAGTTAAATCCTTTAAGTAAATTGGTGAATATGTGTACGTTCACTCTTGCACCAGTTGAAAATGTTACTGAAATCATCTTGAAAAGAATTTGAATATTTTCATATTTATCAAAAAGGTGTTGATGGGAAGTTGAAATCGGTGAACCTTTTTTTCATGTAAACAATGAGGTTATCGTTACTTCTTATTATGTACATATTTTTTTGCTGTTATGTTTGGGGAAAAATCGTAATCTATTTTTTTTTATGTAAAATTGAATTACAGTTTTTAGTGCCATTTAGCATCAGAAATACTTGAATCACTTTTCTGTCTTGATTTTTCTTGTTTTCTCCCATTTGCCAGTAAATTTTATGTTTAATTTTTCAAAAAGTTAATATGTTACATTCACAAATGGATCACGACATCACGTTTCTCAGAAGATACTTCATTAGATGGTCGACTGTGCATTGACATTGTGCTATAATATGTTCAAGTTAGTACTTACATGAATCATGATGTCTTTACTTATAATTTATATTTATGCTTGATATTAAAATTTTATTTTTTAATCGAGAAATTTGAATATTTTTAAAGATCAAAAGGTGAGAAAATTTCATGTTTGGTAGAGTTGAAGTGAAACTACATATGTATTTCATTGTATACTTGATTTGACATGTTATGTTGTATCAATAATGTTATCTTTCTGGATAATCTATGTAAAAATACTAATATTTGTTGCTCCTTCAAGACTGAATCTTCAATTTCTTAGGTAGTCCATGAAACAATTTTTATATTTTTCTTACATGGTTGTAATAGTCCCAAAAAGAGCAATCGGAAAAGGTGCGCAATGAGAACCTTCAATTTCTTACCACATACAAGTTGAAAGATGAAAATGAGAAACCTTTGGTTGTATATATCGATTCCTGACTTGTCAAAATTTTACCAGATTATCAATCTCCACATCATGTGTATGTATATAGAGTCACACGTGTGAGCCACTTTTATATGTAAATGGTCTGTACTTAATAAACTGCATTTATGTTGCAAATTAATTATGAGCACCCATGGTGGTATATATGATGTTAACAGCAACAAGTAGATCTGGTATATATTATAAAGCACATTGGAGACTGAGTTGATTTGCTAATATACAGCTGTTTGCTAATGTAGGTATCTTATGGAGCAAGCAACCATATTGGAGTAGATTTAGTGTTTGCAATCTAATTGCAAAGTGATGATTGAGTTATCAACAAGTCCAATTTGTATTAGTAGTAGCTAGGCTTACCTATTTCTTCATCATGTATGCATGTGCAAATTTCTTTTTCCATCACTATTTTCTTCTTTCTTCTTTGGATATTATTGATTAGGAATTGCCTTTGCATTTGAACTACAATTAGCAAAAAATCCATTTAGGTACATGAATTGTGCAGAAAGATAAGATGTCGTTGTTGGATGGAAAGTCGAGTCTAGATTATGCAGGTGTATAATAAACGCAATCAGCTAGCTTATCATTTGTCCAACCTTGCAATACAATGGCGATGTTATCCTATTTCTGATTCATTTGCTCCACTTTCTTCACAAGCCAAAAAAGAGGTGAACTTAAATAAAATGCATGATCAGAATGACTCTTAAATCAAATCTACTATATTGTGGTTCTTTCATGATTGTAAAATGGATGGATGCGAGTCGATCTCTTGTAGTTTTTTTTTGTTCACGAGTGGTAGTTAGATGCCCCTTTTATTTTTGCACTTTGAATGGGTCAACTAAATTCTACACCTA